TTTTAAGGTGTAAACCACATATGGTCTAATTGCTATATTCATTAATCTTTATTGTATTATTATATACATAAATGTTGTTAGATGAAATGACATATTGAAATGATCATTCACACAGTATTGTTCTTGATTCACATTATCATTATCTGAAATTCTTATTACTATAAAACTCTGCATTTTATTACTCAGTGTATAAATCAAAAATATCTCAATTAACTAGAAGATACTGTGTAAAAAGGTGAGAATTTTAAACTGATCTTTAGGCAGAGGTTCAATTTTATTAGATATTAGTAGTTTTGCAAGTTTAATTTATAACTGGATATAAGTTAGAATTTTGCGCAGTGCTATTCAGATTAGTATATATGTATATTTGTTACATTGTAAGTTATTGTAAAAGTGCACAATACCTACCAAAATAATAGACCTACCGTGAATCAGACCAGTACTAAAGTATAGATAAAAATTTTGATAAAATAAAACAGACCCGGGTATAGTATAAAAAACAATGATTAAAAGACTTAGTTAATTTATAATATTAGAACATAATATATATTATAAAAACCTTCTATTTATCAAACCAATGTCTATACAACAGACCCTGTGTTTATTAAAGGTTTTAAAATTGAAATGTGCCAAACACTTTAAATTTCACGTGATAAAAATTTGATTTGTACCCCGGATATATTATATACGTACGTAGGTGATATCTTGTCATGAGGATTTAAAAAAAAACAAATCATATGGACCAATATGTACCTCTATGCAGGAACTTTTTGATAATAGATTATTTGTCAATGCAATTATCTGACAGATAGCTCATTAGACAATTAACTATATCATGTTTGAGATGGAAGGTTTATTTTTAATATCAGGCTAATAAGTAGACAAGAATCTAACGGGTTTTGAGATAATCTAATAGGTTTGATGCATATTCATTAAATTCTTCGTGCATAATAATATAGAATGAATCTTAAATAAATCACAATAATTACTTTAATTATTTGTCAGACCAATCAAAAAAATTAAAAGTGACTATTCAAGGCCCAATATACACCAATTTGCCTATATGTATTACTATTAAATCTGTCACAAATCACGGAGTATCTTATACAGCATTTTACGGTACCAAATCTGGGTCACGTATATGCACTTTTACAGTGCATTATTGTAAATTTACAACCCCTTAAAAATACAAAAATGAAGTGATTACTATTAATTTAATAAATAAAAAAAAAACAAACCATAGTGATAGCTATTATTCTATTTATACATATATAAGTTATTTCAACTCTATTGCATTGTTAAGTATATGTATACATATATTTAACGAAATTTAAGGCCTTTTAAACCTAATATGGTTTTATATCAATAAATGCGGAGGCATATACGTACAATTTTTAATCTTATAAATTTAATAATAAGAAATCTAATATACTTATTATAGCGAGAATTTTAAAAACAATCGTACATTTTACTTTTTTTCTGTTGCTATTGTTAAATCATTTTTGCTTAAAATTCCTATTTTTTTTCATCGTCTTAAAAAAAAAATGTCAAAAGCACCTAAGAATAAAAGCATAGCAAGATTTCAATTATACCGAAATAATAAAAATCAGGAATTAACACTATTTCAAAGAGCAATAATTCTTACTCTTGTTGAAAATGAATGTTCTTAACGTCAAGTTGCATGGACAATGGGAATTTCTCCCTCAACAGTATCTAAAATCGTAAAGAAGTTTAAAGAAACAGGCAAAGTTAATAATTTGCCAAGATCAGGTTATCCTAAAATTGTTTCTTCTGATAAAGAAAAATTAATATGTGAAATGATTATCCCTGGGCAATGTGAAACAGCAGTCAACATGCATGCAAAGTTTTGTCGTAAAACAAATAAAGAGATGTCAGTCGAAACAATACGAAACATTCTTCGAAGAAATGGATATGTTCCTAGAGTTAGTCCTGCTCTTACTGATCAACATAAAATAGAACGTCTAAAATTTGCTACAAAATATAAAGACTGGACTGTTGATGACTAGAAGAAGGTTATTTTTTCTGATAAAAGTAGGTTTATACTTTTTGGTGCTTTTAAAGGACGTCAGTATTACTGGCGAAAAAAAGATGCCTCGTTGACTGATGATCATATAATTCCGACAAAAAAGTTTGGTGGTGGCAGCATATGGTATGGGGTTGTATGACCTCAGAAGATGGCCATATTGAATTAGTTGAAAGAACTTTAAATTCGGCAGGATATATTAATATTCTCAAGGATTGTCTATTAGATGTGCTGGAATCATGTGAGTACGACGAGGATGAAATGATTTTTCAGCATGATAATGCTAGAATACACACGTCAATTGCAACAAAAGCGTGGCTTAAGGATAATAATATAACTGTTCTAGAATAGGCCTTCTACTCTCCTGATCTAAATCCAATTGAACATTTATAAAGCGAAATGAAAAAAAAATTAAAAGGAGAGTATTTTGATAGAACCGAAAAGGACAAGTTATGGAACAGAATAGTCCAAATATGGGAAGGCATAGGCATCTGTGTAATTACAAATTTGTACAAATCAATGCCAACAAGAATTGCAGCCATAATAGAGGCTAAAGGTGGTTATATAAAATATTAAAAAATTATATATTGATATACATATATGTTGTGATATCTAGCGTGGTTACCTGGGTATAAAAGCGATAGCGTAGTTACCTGGGTATAAAAGCAATAGCGTGGTTACCTGGGTATAAAAGCCGTAGCGTGAGTACTTGAGTATAAAAGTCTTAGCGTGGGCTTAGAACACTCCTCTTCTTCTCTCCCCCCGAACTTTTATTTCTGTAAATTAACTTATGGAGTTTCACCTGCATCTCTAGTTGTGCTCCAGATGACAATACTAAACTTAGGCCTAGAGGAGACAAAAAAATTGGCCGAAGCGCTTAGTGAAAATACAACACTCACAGTTTGCATTTGCCTTTATATATATATTTATTCTCAATTTCTTCTAGTTAATAGTTAGTTGTTTTTATATTTGTTTTTTTATTTGAATAAACTTCGATAACTATAATTAAAAAAATGTACAATTTTATGATTAGAAATAAAATTAATAAGTTATATTATCATTAGCGAAAGAACATTCTTGCCTAAATTATAAGTATTGTATATTATATTTTTCTTTATTGTACATTAGCCTAACTTGTGAATAAAGATATTTTAATATTTTTAGGGTATAAATCAATTTCGCTGACAACCCTTTCACTGACAAATTTTGGCTCAATTTAGTTCGGGTTGAACTGCTTTATGGTTAGTATTGGTTAGAGATTGTTGGTGAAGTGACTGTCAGTAAAATGGTTGACTACATTGCTTTTCAACTGTGAATTCTTAAACCGTGACTTTTTATATTTCGATAAAAAATTAGTAAGTCTATAGTTATTATATTCTCTTTCTAGAATTGCTGTATATTCGTTATGATCTAATTGAAATGTTTTGTTAAATTATACAATTTTGCATGATTATGTTCAGAAGCATGACTACACCATATATTTTGGTAGGTTGAATTATTCAGTTTTGATCAACTTATCAACAGCTTAGTTTACTAACACTTATTTCGTGACAAGTTCATTTCATTGATAGTTCACTTCACCAACGCTCTTTTCACAGACAAAGTAATTCTAGTCTAGCATCCATAGTCAATCTGTGGATACAAGTAAAAAATCAAGATTCTAATTATAATTTACTGAAAAAGGTTTATAGAGATTTTTAATACATCTATACAGATCTTTAAGAATTTGATTTAAAGATTTGCTAAAATTTAACATCTAATTTTTCAAACTGATAAGCTTTCTAGAAATTTTTCAATTACTGCTTTGAAAGTATTCAACCGTACATACATAGTTCTTGGGACACTTCATGAAAAATTATACACATGTTATTCTGCTAATTTGATAAGTTATTAATTTTAGCATAATCAATGTAATGCTTATTATTTACAAAGATAGTCTAAATCCAGACACGTATGTACGTGTGTAGGTGCTAATCGATTTGCAAATTAAAACTTGTTTGAAACTACAAGGCTTTAAGCAACCTCTATTAATGGTGCAGTGATAATTATTAGTCAATCGTAGCCAAATAACCAATCTTGATAAATTATAACTCTAGTTAAGTTAGTAAAGTATAATACTTACGAAGCATATTCACTAGAAAGTAGTCAGAAAAATTTAAAAGGTTATCAATTCGAGCAATTGCTAAATACTTTGGTGTCAGCATATCTTCAATAAGTTGAGTTTTCAACTAATTTCAAAAATATGGATGTATTGAAATACTACTGCCAACTTGTAAGAAAATCACGTCTAAATTTTATTAAACTTAGATAGTATAGAATATTATAAGACTTTAATAAAAGAAAAGCCTAATTGGTATTCGCATGAGTTACAATCAGAAATGGAATTTTAGTTAGAACATGAAAGTAGGGATTGTTTAAAATCTTCGAGTTTTAATTTACGAATCGATTAGCATTTACGCACGTATGTATGTGCCTGGATTTCAACTATCTTTGTAAATAATAAGCGTTATATTGATCATGCTGAAATCAATACCTTATCAATTCAGCAGAATAATATTCAGGTAATTTTTCATATAACAGTTCTAATCACTTGATCTTAAATTATAAATCTATTATGCTGAAATCGCAAACTTAGTCGAATTCTTCAAAAAATTATTTAGCTAATTTTTTATCAGGTGTCTCAGGGCTTATAATAACAGCTGTAAAAGACTTGAATAGTAACTTTTTTCATTTGACCCAGCTTTTAAGTTCAACTTCCACTCAGGTGACTTAAGTCTACTTGGTGAAAGACTTTTTATAGTTGACTTTATTCACACCCAAGTAGCATTTGGCTTGCCCATCTGGTGACTCTAGTGGTGATTTATTTTAGTTGTTGTTAGAGTTAGGTTAAATTTAGAATTAGTATCAAAATTAGTGTAATTTAAATTTAAAAAAAAACTTTTAGTGAAATACTAAACTTTAATTTTAGAGTATATAAGCTTTGATTTTAATAATTATACCCAAAGTTAAAAGCTTATAAATCTGAGATCAAAAATTTAGTAAATTTAGCCAACAAACAGCTGTAAGTATTGGTGAAATAAACTTAGTAGTGAAATAGGTTTAGTAAATTAAGCTATAATAAGATAATTGTTAGTAAAATAATATATATCTAAATTATTTGCTTTGTAAAATTTTTTTTATGTTATATTCTTTTACTGCATATTATTAATTTTTTAATTTAAATTTATTACATATAATATAGAATTATAAATATAGGCCGGTGCAAAAATGCAGATACACGAATACGGTATTGATAAAAAATTTTTTTAAACGACTTAAGTTAAGTATTTAAAATTGGAATTTATTACTTTGGTTTTTAAGTTTATTTTAATATAATTTTTATTAAAATTTTATATTAAAAAAAAATTTTTTTATTAGAAGACGATTTCCTCGATTTTAAGATCGTCATCATCACTTTCAACCAACGTAACATGTTCGTCGTATTTCTTATATTCCTTTGCCCTGGTAAGTGATTTTCTCTAAAGATCCGTGATGGTTTTTGAGCTGACCTTTTCAGTAAACGCCTCGAATAATTTGTTTTGGATAGAAAGCAGGTTTGGATGTGGACTTGTCTTCGCAACTTCTTGTTTCGCAACTGCCCAAATTCCTTCGATTGGTTGAAGTTCGCAGTGATATGGTGAGGTATAAGACAAACTGTGCCCATGTTTATTAGCAATTTGAACACATGTGAATGGCACTTTGTGTTTATTTCTTTTTACTAACTCGTATAGCTCGGCTTTGGTACAATTTTCTGATGCAATAATATCGTGTGCCGCCAACCATGCATGCAGAACATCTTTTTTTGAATTTGATGTTGGTACTTGTTCAGCCCGGCATTTATGATAGCGAGCCCCATCCATATGGATACATATTGGCCCATATCGGTCTTTAATACCTGCGCAAAGTTTTTCAAAAAGGTCTTCGAAAATTTCAGCATTAAAATTGCCATGATAATCGCTTTGATCTGCTACAAGATTTGC